GCTCCTGCCCACCTATCCCATTAGTCCCCGGCCATCTGACCGCTTCAAATGCCTCGCCTACCCCGCTCTTATTACTTTTCTTCTCCCATGTCACCAAAAAAAAAAAAAAAAAGAAAAAAAAAAAAGGCTGAGCTGGTATATAAATCCTTGCTCAGTCATCTGGAACATAATGTGGTCCTTCTCTCCCCCATCCGCCCGGGCTCCGCAGCCTCCAAACAACCGCCTGGAGATTCCCGGCAATAAGAAACACCCATTGCCTTTTTTGCCTATAGGTTGCCCAAGCTCCTACAAAAAGGCTGAAATAAACAAACAAACAAACAAACAACCCATTTGCGGCTGTCGATACAGTTTTCGAAAGAAATATCGCCGCTTTCCACTCCTGCCTTGAAAGAGCAACCATGATTCCGAGGTTAAAAAAATTGGTTTGAACCCTGGCCAAGGCTTGAGTGAGAAAAAAAAAAAAAAAAGAAAAAAAAAAGGCGGGGGGGAAAGAAAAAATACGCACAAATAAGAAAATAGGAGACACTGATGGATTAGTTTTCTTTTAAGGTGTGTAGGAGAGCTAAACATAGGAATTGAAGAGCCCTGCTCTGGATTAAAAGGGACTGTACCAGCACTCTGTTCAGCATCCTCCTGGCCTGACTGCTTGGAAAAACAAACAAAATAGATCTGGTAATACCCTAAAACGGGAATCTTTTAAAGTCAGAATATACAGTAAGATAAAAGTGTTGCCGTGAGCTCAGCATCACCTGCCTGTACCTAAGAACTTCCTCTCCTCCCCTCTCCCTTCCCTTTTCTCTCCCTTCCCTTTCCCTTCTTCTCTTCTCTTCTCTCCTCTCCCCTCCCCTTTCCTCTCTTTTCTCTTTCTTTTCCTTTCCTTTTCACTTTCCTTTCCTTTTCACTTTCCTTTTCTCTTCTCTTCTTTTCCCTTTCCTTTCTTTTCTATCATTTTCCCTTTCCTTTCCTTTCTCTTCTTTTCCCTCGCCTTTCTTTTCTCTTCTTTTCTCTTCTTTTCTCTTCTTTTCTCTTCTTTTCTCTTCTTTTCTCTTCTTTTCTCTTCTTTTCTCTTCTTTTCTCTTCTTTTCTCTTCTTTTCTCTTCTTTTCTCTTCTTTTCTCTTCTTTTCTCTTCTTTTCTCTTCTTTTCTCTTCTTTTCTCTTCTTTTCTCTTCTTTTCTCTTCTTTTCTCTTCTTTTCTCTTCTTTTCTCTTCTTTTCTCTTCTTTTCTCTTCTTTTCTCTTCTTTTCTCTTCTTTTCTCTTCTTTTCTCTTCTTTTCTCTTCTTTTCTCTTCTTTTCTCTTCTTTTCTCTTCTTTTCTCTTCTTTTCTCTTCTTTTCTCTTCTTTTCCCTTTCCTTTCTTTACTCTTCTTTTGCCTTTCCTTTCTCTCCTTTTCCCTCTCCTTTTCTTTTCCCTTCCCTTTCCTTTCCTTCTCTTTTATCTTTTCTTTCCTTTCCTTTTCTTTCCTTTTTTCTTTTCCTTTCTTTACCACAGTTTAGCAAGTTGTTTCTCCGCTGGGTAACTTCAGCTCTCTTTGCACCATTTGGCGACAGACCTCCCCAGGCCCTTCCAGCTAAGTTCAGAGCGACGGGAAAACAGCCCGTGAAACTTTTTCATAATATTATTCTGCATTCCTGTACTATAACCATCCCCTGCGATGACACAATACCGGCTCTTTATCAGAGGTTGTGTCAACGTGCCATGCAATAACATACCCCGCTGTTCCGTGCCACGAGACCCCAGAACAGCTCCCTGGCAGTTCAATATGGATTTCTACGCGAGATCGAAGCAGCTGGGAGTCATTACTATTTGCTAAGTAAATAAATTTACATGTTAAAAAAAAAAAAAAGGAGACTCGAAAGTGTTTACAGGAAAGGAAATATCCTGGTTTCAAAGGCAAGCATCCCACGTGTGTTGTGCACAGGGACATAAACAGGTTAAAAGTGCACTTTGTGGAGGTTTTTAAATCAGTGATGAATCGGGGAAAGAAGAAAAAATCATCCCAAAAAGTCCAAACCCAGAGTTTAACATAGTCTGGGTTGAGGACTAGGGGAGAAAACTCTTGCTAAGGGGCCTAAGAATTCCAGTCAGTGTGTCCCTCTGAAAATGCACATCCTTGGGATACCTCAGCCAGGTTGGAAACCTGGCCCAGGAGGGGCTCCCACCTCCCCCAGCAGGGAAAGCAGGTTGTGGGAACAACCTGAAAAAAATCGACACTTTTAGAGGGTTATATTTCTGGTGATTAGATTTGGGGTGGGTTGTTGGTTTTTTTTTTTAAATGGCAAAACGTGCTCTTGACAGATGGAACCAAAAGGAACTTTTTACAAACTCCTAAAAATAGGGAAGCCCATAATATACTCAATATATGTCACGCAACGCACGCGTCTCCAGTTAACTCCTGTGCTCCCGAGTGCGAGCGTGAGGGTCCTCGGCCCCTCCGTGGCACCCAGCTGCTTTTCCTTCTCTTCCCTTTTGGTCATTGGGGATGCTGGTTTTTGACCTCTTCCCCACGTGGGAAGATTAAAACCCCACTTTTTCTTTTTTTTTTTCCGTACATAAGGTGTACAGGCAGGCGTGGGTGTGTTTAAACCTGAGATTCCCCCATGATCTCAACCCTTAAACCTGAGATTCCCCCATGATCTCAACCTTTGGAGGGCTTCAAGAGAAGAAGACATAAAGCACGGCTCAACAAGACCACCCCTACCCTTCCTACATCCCCCTTTCCTAAAAAAAAAGGGCTATTTCCATAGGTGGCAAGTGGCCTGAAGGCAAGTCTCAGTAACAAAGACCCCCTGGAAAGGGTCTCTTTTCCAAAACTCCTTTCCCAAACTTGACCTCAGAGCTCCAGTTAGCGAATTCCCACTTTTCTTTGCTTTTTTTTCACTCTTTCCTAACGTTTTCAGGCAACGAGCCTCCTTCCCCAAACTTGACCTCAGAGCTCCAGTTAGAAAATTCCCACTTTTCTTAGCTTTTTTCCCATTCTTTCCTAAAGTTTTCAGGCAACAAGCCTCCTTCCCACAACACATCTAACCAAGCGCTGGCAGCAAGTCCAACCTCCAAAAAGCTGATTCCTGGGATGCGGCTCGGAGCTTCAGGACCAGCTAAAGCCTCGCTGACAAGTCGTTTTGGGGCTATTTAATAGGATTCAAGCTCTAAAAATCCCTCCTGCCTTTCCGAAAACCCTTCCCGACCGAGGTCATAGCATGCACCTTGCTAGGAATGGAGCGGGATGGCAATGATAAAACAGCGACCGGCGCCCCGGACTAATAAAAAGCCACGTTTAAGGAGAAAAACTAAGGCTGGAAAGACAAAAAATAAATATCTACGTCTTCAAAAGTAGACCTGGGAAGGGCGCAGCTTGATTTGCCAAGCGCCTAAGAGGTTTAGGAGCGGGCTGGCAAACCTCCCTGCAGATGTTCTGTCCACGCACGTAGAGACATAAACAGGCGCACATCCGTCTGATGAAAGAACATTCCCTCCCCTTCCCCACAACAGGGCGGTTTGAGTTCCAAGCCTACTTTTTGCAGCAGTTTTTCACCCTTAAAAAAAAAACCAAAACAAAACAAAACCAACCCCCCCCCAAAAAAAAACCCAACCCCATGGATTTACAAGCGTGCTCCAAAAAGCGCGGGGCTCTAATGAACACGTTGACACCACTTCAACCATGGCATTGTGAGCAGCACCACTAGAATATATACGTATAAGTACTTGAAAGAAAAAAGGCCCCCTGAATTTATGTTGCATATCATTTTCCAGTAAAAGTCAGAGGTCAGAAGGTTACCAGTTTCTGCCTCAGCTCTGCAACAGTTTACTATTCCAGGCCCCAGTTTTACTAGGCTGTACTTGCGATGAAGTCAGCAACTTTGCTTTAAACAATAAAGTGTCGCAAAATACTTAAAATTCTATAAAGAGATGCTGTTCACCACGTCCGTTCGCTCCACGCGTATGAAAAAATTAAAATACACTGGTTTGGTTTAAAAACTAATCTTGTTCAACGCAGACTTTGCGGTGCTAATCAGTCCTGCTCAACCTTTTTTTTTTTTTTGGGGGGGAAACACAATTCCTTTGTTGTCTAACAGCACTTGAATGAAACATGATCATAAAACCAGATTTAAAAGTATATACCTATTGCGAGTTCAGAGTCAACTTCAATAAAGCGCTCTCTTTTATATTCAGATTAAGGAACCTTTTTAAATTTTAATTGCATTAAATTAACGCTAAATCCGCTGCAGTTGGTCTCTTCAGTAAAAAAAAAAAAAAAAAAGTATGAAGCATTTAAACGGCTTCTTAGAAAAACCCAGAATTTCAGCTTTGGCGCTTCTGAGACAGCACTAATTATCTGTAGTACGTCCCAATTCCATTGCATCAAGCTCCTTTCCTACTAAATCAGTCACTCTGGCCTAGCACTCAGAGAAAACATCTTTGCGTTCAAGGAAATTGGAATTGAGTTTAAAAAAAAAAAAAGAGTAAATAAAAGCACTGCTCAGGATTTTGTAAAACGGGCCAGCTAACGTCTCTTCTTTACAGGCAGAGAAGTTTAGATGGCATCTTTGAAACATTAGCATGCGTTTCTGCAATCTTAATTACATTGGCTTTTGAAGATTTTCATCTTTTAACCCATTTGAATGGAGAAAAAAAAACCAAAAAAACAAAAAAACAAACCCAAACCCTACTCATTGCTTATTTTTATGAAGCATACTGCAAATTTGGTACATATGTTGCTCTAACATGTGCCTGCTGGCAGGGTCCAAGAAATAAAGATGCCAATCCTTTTACTAGGAGGAGATGGGGCGAGGTGGGGAGGTGGGGTTGGGGCTGGGGGTGGAGGGGACACATGGAAAAAGTGTCAAAAAAAAAAAAAAGGAAGGTAGACCTTTCTCAGCACAAAATCCAACCCCCCCCGGCACCTGAGCATATCGTGACATCAGAGAGCGAGTGACCGGTCCCCCGAACTCCTGGGTGACCGGTGGCCACCTAAGAAATCTGGAGGGCTCCCTTTCCTACCTTGCTCACTGCTGTTGTCCCCGCTGTGCGATGTGTGTCCCCCACTGGAGGGTCCAGGGGTTCCCCCGGAACGCGTCGACGCCGTGTCATCGTGGTCTCTGTTCCAGGAGGGCTGCGGGGAAAAAAAAATTAAAAAATAATTAAAAAAACCCCCAAAACAATCAAAATAAATCCCAAGTTAAAAGTTGAGATGAGGGAGATGGGTTCGTGTGCTCCCGGGAGAGTGATGCCCCATCACCTGTGGGAAAAAGCTGGCGAATACATCCCCCCATCCCCAAAATTATTCTTTCTTTATGGATAGTGAAAAAAAAAAAAAAATAATATCCTCTGGAATATGTTTACCATCTAAACAACCCCATGCTTTATTACCGCAGAAAACAGAAACATTCCTGGCGAGGCAGGGGTTGGGGGGAGCGAAGGGCTGGCACCGGGCTCCGCCGGTATTTTTAGCATCCCCAAAGCCTCCGGCGAACGAGCCCGCTAACGCCGCGGCGGCCAAAGGAGGGAGAGAGGTGGTCCAGAGTGGCTTATATCAGCCCCCCAATTCCCCCCTCCCAAGCCAAGGTGGAAGAGCTTAAAGACTTTGCTGGCAATTAGGCCCCCGGTCCCATAATAGCCAGGATGTGTCAGCTGTTTGCCGGATGGTAGATGGCAAATGGACCAGGCACGGGGACAAAAAAAGAAATGAGAATAACAATGGCTTCACATGGGCTGTGTACACTCAGCCCCATGCAGAGCCCCCTTGTACTATTGAACAGAAAACAGATGTTGCTCCTTATCACTGGGTGCGTTGGAAAGTAACGTTCAGATAGGAAAAACGGGCTGTAAATTAAATTCTTAGGGAAAACAATCGCGGCGACACTCCTCCTCCCGAGTCTCCCTTTATCGCCGGAAAAGATTTTAATTAGCTTTTAGTACTAGCTTTTAAAAACATCCCGGAGACCCACTGGTCATCCTTCCGTGCGTCGTTGGAGAGGTTCTTCTTTACCACCAAGCAAGGGTGCCCACTGGAAACGCTCGCCCAAAAGAAAACCCTCCCGTTTCCAATGCGCACACGTTGAGTCGATGGGATTGAAATCAGGATACAACATAAACCGAAGCCGTGGACTCTTAAAGTTGACTGATACCGCCAGCTTTTTAATAAATCTACCAATGGCCCTTGAACCCAGCACTCACACGTCGCCAGGCGAGGTTTAAGGCCATCCAGGTGAACTTCTCACACTCGGAGAAGGGAAAATTAAGACAAAAAAGTCTAAACAGGATTAGAAAAAGCCCAACTTTTCCCCCCCCCCCAAAAAGTCTCTCTTCCTTTTTTTTTTTTCATAATCCTGGTTACAGCCATGATACGTCATTACAATTAAAGGGAGCGAGGCCCTGAAATTACCGCAGCAATATTTCAAACCCAATTATTATGCATCTCCCCTAAAATAAATAAATAAATAAATAGAAAGTGCTAATTGATCTGGTGATTCCGTGATTGAAAGAACGATGTGTGAACGGTGAAAGAAATGCCTTTTTTTTTTTTTCCCCTTTTTTTTGGGTTTTCTGTTGTGTTTTTTTTTTTTTTCAAATACGCATTCTCTGGCATACCAAAAGAATGCTGTAAGAGGTAATCTGGAACACATGCTCAGAATGCAAACAGTTAATGCATAAATTTTCAGTTTGTACAACTGCAGCTTTAAAAGAGGGACTTGTTTATTCAGAGCTCTGCAGAAAGAATGGTACAGCACCCAGGGGACAGACAATGCCAAGCACAAAGCCCTGGTGCCTCAACATGTAAAAGGATGTTTTTCTATGTGCTACAAATCCCACTTGAAAATATAATTAGAAGGAGAAAATGGCAAACTATTGCATTAACTGTAATTGAACAAAAGACCAGCAAGGCATGTGGGAGGTTGCAGGAACCCGTGGGAGTTCCAGGATGCATCAGATCCTACGAGTGACATCTCCAGGGCACTCTCATTCTATTTATGTTGTCCCTCACTACTATTGTTGACTAGTGAGCTGACTTGTAATTAATAGAAAAGCTGCAGATAACAAGGTAAAATATAGAGCGCGGCGCTAACCTCGGCAGAAATGTTTATTAATCTGATTAAGAACACAACTCCGAAGGCGGGGAGGGGGAGAGAGCAGAAAAGAGGAGGCTCGGACTGAAGAATTATACCGTGTTGTGCAGGAAACGGCCCTCCTTTCTGCAACAACAGACCTGATATATTCACTATCTTTTAATGAGCTCCCCTGATTTATTCAGCTCCGTTCGGTTCCCTCCCCCACTTTTCTACTGTGCGGGATGTAGATTAATTCAATGCTTAATTGTTTAGTAAATTCAATTTTCCACATTCTATTCTGCATAGCTTTAGCTAAGGTTCTTAAATCTTCAGCGGCGAGCCCCGAGCCCAGCGTTTGTGATCTGCGCCTACCTTTTTTTCATCACCATTTTTCTTCCTCCACCACTTAATTCACCATGAAAAGATTTTCCTTGCTGGAAAGTCTGATTCCGCTATGATCTGTGAGGCATTCCGATTCATTGCATTTTCATTGTGTTGGGTCTTAGATGCCGGGCTCCTCTTTTCTCACAGCTATCGCCACATTATACAGGCACTCATGCAAGAAATGTTGGATTCCACCTCAGTTTATCAAAATTTTGTGCATTCTAGATGTTTACATTTCCGTATTCGGAAGCAGGAGTTAATATTTTCCACCTAATCTCACTTTTATTAAGCTATTATTTTTACGGCCTGTTAAAAACGAATCTGCTCGGGATACTGCTAACTTTTTTTTTTTTTTTTTTTTTTTTCTGGCTGCCTCCGTCTATTAGCATTTCAAAAGTATTTGTATTTAACTAAGCATCTCAAGTCTTAAGAGACTAGGAATTACATCTTTAGTCAGTTTATTAAACATGATGAAAGATTAGCTATCAAAGTTCCTATGCAAATTCTTCCGAGATAACCGCGTTGAAAGCTGCGGTATTTTTTAAAACAGACACTCCACGGCCCCAGTTCCAAAAAAATCTCTCTGCACCAAGGGAAGAGAGATCCCGAGCACAAAACCAAGCGTAATTTTTCTTCTCCTCACTATTTCAGCAAAGTTCCCCCATCCATGCAAGCAGGGAGCCAAGTATAACATTAATCTCTTTTTTTTTTTTTTTAATATTTTTTTTTTTTATCTTCCAGGGAACTTTTTAAAGTCAACAAAGTCTCCAAAAACCGACTTGCAAACTCCCCATCCTCCCAGCGCTTTTACATTAAATCGTTTCTGACAGTGACACGGCAAATATTATTATTTTTTTCACACTGTGAACCACCTCCTCCCTTTCTGCAGAAATATTTCCAGCGCTAGCTACAGAGAACGCTCTGACGGCAGTCACGACCATCTCGTCCGACACAGAAATAGAAATGCCTCACTTATTTGTTTCCCTTTTCTGAGAAGTTGCGGTTTATCACTTGACGGGGCTCCTTTAGTGATGATAGTGATTTCTTTTTTCTTTTTTATTTATAAACTCTACTGAGGCTGCCATAAACAGGAACGAATTCCACGTCACCTCCTACGTGGGAATCCTGTGTTCCCAGTAACTTGGGACGAGCCACGGCATCTCTGTGCCTCAGTTTCCACTGGGGGAATGACAATGAAAAACCCCAAAAAACAAAATAACGAAAGAAATGAGGTTGGGGGGGGGTGGGAAATAAAAAAAAGAGGGCAGCACTTATCTACAGCGTGGATATTGTTGGGGGATTAAATTAATTAGCAACTGTAAAACACGGTGAGTTCTTCCAAAGGGAGACTTTAGAGAAGTGCAAAGTAATATAAATTAATCACTCCATTATATAGGCTGGCTCATTCCAGAGGAGGGTCTCAGCCACGTGGTTGTGACAATAGTGTATAAATAAGGATAATGGCCCATTATGACTTGGGCTTATACATTAGTCACCATTTAGCTGAGAATGGACACTGTGGCATGGACTGGGCCTCGCTGATAATCCTTTTTTTAGTACCTTTTATCTTTCTCTTCCAAGCTCACCCCTGCCCTAACGTTCAACCGACACTTTCAAGCCCAAATCCTTTGCCAAATCAAGAGGACGCGAGCAAAATCAAGAATACACCAGCAAAAATCAAGAATACACCAGCAAAAGTCAAGAATACACCAGCAAAAATCAATCATGTTGGGATTTCGAGGCTGGGCTGCAAGTTCCCATGGTTTAAACTGGTTTTGCACCACTGCCTTTCCCACTGGTCAATAGTTTCTAGTGCCAATACCACGGTCAAGCCACTAACCGGTTCGAGTCATGGTCGCACGACTGATTTAAAATAAAAGAGGATTCAGGTGTCCTAATGCTGCCCCACTTTAAGGGCAAAAGACCTTCTACAAGGGATGTTTTAGCTTACCCCATGGCGTTTGAAACACATTTCCTGACTTTTATTTCCATCCTGAAGCTTGTTGAGGACTCTGATACAAGCAGGGGGGAAGAGAAGGAGAAAAAGAAGAGAAGGAACAACCATGTTTGTGTACTTAAATAATCCCAGAAGCACCAATTGTCTCCCATGACCTTCACCTGGTGCTTCGTCCACCTGGGAGATGGGATGGGCTGAAAAGCACAAGCCCCAGCAGGTACCAGCGCCATGGCCCCATCAAAGGAGGACCACGTTTGATGAGGCCTCTGCAGCAGTTATTGACTTGTGTCACGGTGAACATCAAGCCTTAATAAACAAAAAAGCTACAGACCAAGTTATTTGGTTAATGGCTAAATTGGAGAGTCAATATAAATAACATTACCTACACTTATTACTGCAATCCAACAACAGCTGGGCTTTGAGTCAAGTTAACACTAATACACAGTGGGGGAAACCGTTGCCTTCTCCTTAGAATAAAGGATAAAATGGATTTTTTTTTTGAACGCCAAGCATGTGAAAGGGGGGAAAAAAAAGAAGAGGTCCTGGCCAAGGAACGAAAGGCTTGACCGTAAGTACATAAATAAAAGAAATCGCTTTCTATTACAGGTGATAAAAATTGTACTCAGCATCTTTTGCTATATATCTTCTCAAAAGTTTTGCGAGCACAGCCCTCTTGTGGGCTCATTTGTGTTTGTGTAACAACTGGAGACGGGGAACAGCTAA